AAAAAAAAAAAAAAAAAATCAAAACAAAAGACTCCAGTTCTCGATGACATAAGAATACCGAAAACTGAATAGCGAACTAAAACAGAAAAACTTGAAGCTCGAATGTCGTATGGAAGATAACACTGTCACCAGCCTTCTTCGATCTTCAAGCAGGGTATATATACAACTCCTTAGGCATGGACTTCTTCACAAGTAATTCCCTTCTCCTTGATCTTCTTCCAAATATAAAAGAAACATTGAAAGTGAATATCTTCTCTCTTGCACTTGCCTTGATCTCCTTTTCTTGCATGCACGTCCGACATCCTACAAAAAATAACATAATAAGATCATACAAATCTTTCATAAATATATTAATTATATAAATATTTGAAATACATATATTTTATAAATACAAATAAAGAACTTCCCTTTTTAATCCTTGTGCTTGCAACAACATATCTTCAATATATTATTTTTGAACTTGTTGCCAAAAATAAATATTTCAATCTCCGCCTTTGACATCTTGTTCTAAAATCATATATAAAGATGACATGAAACAGTGAAAGTACAACAAGCAAGAGTATGCAAGATACTAACAACACGGGACAAATCACTGCAGTAAGAGTTTCACAAATAAAGACTAAGTAAGAACACAATCAAGAATGTACCTGCAACTACAACTCTTCAGACGCACATAGCCTAAAACCAACATTCATTAAAAAATAAGAAAAGTTCAGAGCAAATATCCAACGAACCATAACAAGTACTATCAACAGCCACACAAAACATAAGTAAAGAAGAGGTTATTATACAAGTAAGACATCACTACAACACTCCACCAAAACACACAAAGCAAAATGCAAACTGCCAAAATAAAAATTGCCATCAACCCGAAGAAGATTCTCCCCCTGACTCGTCATCCTCATCAGCATCTTCAACACCAACACCATCCTTTTCATCCTTAGCCTTCTCCAATTTTTTCAAACTACGGGATGCCGAAGGGCTTGTCCCCGAGTTCTTGCGTCGCGTCCCTTTATCTGCCTGTAAGGTTTGGCGAAGGTAAGCCTGTTGTGCTGCGCCCTTCTTGATAATGTTCTCTCATTCTGCAATTTGCTGAACCTGGAACTAGTCCCACTTGGTAGGAACCATAATCCTCTCAGTTATGGAAAGTTTGGACTTGCGTCTTTTGATCCCTCAACATGGGAAATGCGTCCACGGAATCAGCCTCTCCGATCCTACACAAAATATTAAACCAATTAGATAATTTCAAGGAGAATTTCAAATACTGAATCGAACAAATAAAATACTTCCCTAATATATTCAGTCACTTCCTGAGACAGAATGAAGGTTTGTCGATTTACTGTCAATCTTTAGAAACTTACAAATATATTGTAATATTTACGTTTGTTTTGGAAGTTGAAACTTGTACCATGTATTTGCAATATTTTGTTTTGAACATGTGTTTTGCAAGCTTCGATCATGCACGCCCATATGTTTACAGTTATTCCTCGTGTTTCATTCTCCCCTGAATATGTGTTGGTTCATTAAAACATTTACGTCAAATTGACCATGACTCTTCGAAAATTTTAACTTGAATGTTACTCCAACAATATAAACAAGGCTCATGTCACATTATTCTTTTTGTTCGATCATCCATTAAGATTATCCACTTAAAAAAATCCCACCATATGCGCTTTAAGTTATCTCGCGAGTCTACCTATCACTAGGGATTTATTTAACACTGAGTTTATTACTTCAAACACATACCCACCTCAATGGGGTACTCGATATATGCGACCATCCACCCTCATTGCCTTAATCATGATAGGTTTTTACTGCAAACACATGCCCCCCGTCAATAGTGTGGTCGATACATGCGACCATCCAGCCTCATGGCCTTAATCATGATTGTAAGTTCTGAAGATTGACAGTAAATCGATGAACCTTCGGGTGTTCACAGAATTCAGAATAACGCAAGTGTATTTAAGGAAAGTTGTTTTTAGTTTGATTAGAAGCTCGACTTATTTATTATTATTAGATAATAATATTAAGTGTTTTATTATGGCAAGTTCATTGAAATAATCTCGGATTCACCTTTCTTAATTGCAAGAGAAATATTGCGCCCACAAATAAACAAAAGACCTTCCTTATGAATCTTTAACTTGGACGCAAAGAAAAAAGAAGAAACTTACCAAATGAAGCTCGAGGATAAAAGTAGGACGAGACACAAGTAGAGGATGACTTTTGCTCCTTGAATTTTGATTAATTTTATTATATTTTTATTTTGTGAGAGAAGTGTTAAATTTTGAAAAAGTTATTTTCTGTGAGTGTGAACAACAGAGTGTTCGGAGGTTCATTCTGTATAGTTTGAAGGATTCGAACTAGAAAACCCACAATGGAGTTGTGGTCAGATAAGTAGTTGTGTAGATCACTATTCAAGTAGAGTGTAGAGAGAGTCTATACTGTAAACCCTTGGAAGGTGTTTGAGATATTCACATTAATGAAAGAGATCTGAAGGGAGAGTGAGACACTCTCTTGAAGGTTCAATTTTTAGTGAAACAGCTTTCGCAATTGGTTGAATCTTCTTCACTATCTGTTTGTGTTGTTTACGTGCAACTCTGGATACTTGGTGCACGAGTATCAAACTTCAATTGGCACCAGAGCGGATATTCATTTCCATCACGAAAGATCTAAGGGCTTGTGTTGCTGGGCAATCATGAATCAAGAAAGTGGATCAATGTCTAGGCCTCCGCAATTGGATGGTTCCAACTACGCATATTGGAAATCTATGATGACGATTGACATGCGTCATATTTACGTGCATTTTATAGTGATTTTCGTGTCCGTTTCGTCGTAGTTTGATATATAATTAATTATTGTTTAATTAGTTA